GGGGCCCAGACCTTGAGCTGTGTAAGGGGCCCTAAAAAATGGAGCTGCTTCCTGTTCGTTAATTGTTGTGAGCACTGTTAAAAACAGTCTCCAGAGAGCCTCTTCTACACCAGACCTGTGGAGCAAGACTGAGCCCATCATCAGCCTCTTGTCCTCATCTGGTGGTAAGTAGGCAATCCAATATATTATTAGTGGCACTAATCTCACATTAAATGGATACTATAGTCACCAGAAGCACTACAGCATAATGTAGTGGTTCTGGTGTCTATAGCCTGTGCCTGTAGGCTTTTTAATGTAAACACACTGTCTTTTCAGATAAAAGACACTTTGTGAAGACTGGCGTTGGCCCATATGGGCGGGGCATTGTGATGTTACATGGTGGGCAGGACATTGGGGGGGGCGGCAAATTTTTATTTGCCTAGGGCGGCAAAAATCCTTGCACCGGCCCTGCACGGCGGCACTGCAGCACTGGCGTAAGTTAACATGGCAGATCATATGGGTGGAGCATTGTGATGTCACATGGGGGGGTGGGGCGGCAAACGTTACTTTTGCCTAGGGCGGCAAAAATTCTTGCACCGGCCCTGCATGTGTGACATGTCATGATTCCCTTTTATTCCAAACAAAGCCTTTTTTCTGGCACTATAGGTCCCTACAGTGCCCCTCTCCTTCGCGCCCCCATCCTGTTGCGCTGAAGGGGTTATAACGCATTCAGTCACTTACCTGAATCCAGCACCAATGTCCCTCGGCGCTGGGTCAGACTCCACCCATGCTCCTCTTGATAATTGGGCAATAGACCTATCACTAGTAAGGCTTTACCTTTTAGTTGGTTCATTAAGTACCCAATTTTAGCTCTATCCGTGGGGAAGGACCCAGGTGAGGCTTCAAAATGGCACTCAATCTGATTAAGGAATCCCCGACATTCTTGAGGTGCCATATATACTGTAGGTGTAGGTACAGTAGGCGGAGGTGTAACTGCCGGAGGAACTTCAGGCTGTAAATGATCTGTACATATTATTAGCGTATTGAAAGGCTGGGCGAATTGATCCATATGATGATCATTTTCCCCTAGCTTTCTCTCGCAAGCTGCTATGTGCTGACACAAATCTGCAGGATCTATGGCCCTGTCGTAGAATAGTATCACACCTAGGACTAAGGATAACATCTAACTGGATCTTAGAATGGCCGGACTTAAAGTACTGCAGAATAGTCAGGGACACAAAATGAGGCACAATAATGAGGAAAGCCAGAAGTCAAGGATACCAGAAATAAGGGAAGTCAAAACGAAGCCAAAATCAAATACCAGAAAAAACGCAATCAGGAACACACTTTCGGATAACCAGCTAGTGGAAACCACAACAGGACACTGACAAAAAGGTAATTTGGGTTTAAATAACCCTCCTTAGGCTGTAATTGGCTGTCTCTGACCTCTGACCCCGCATGACGCCGCACGCATGTTGGTGCCATCTTTGATGTGGGCGAAGGTAAGTTTCTTACAAAAGTCTGGTCCGCAGTGGCCGGCGTTCCTAAGAATGTCGCACCCGCTGGGGACCGGAACGGAGGGAGACCGGATAGCTGCCTGCCGAGCCCCAGGTAAGTTTGAAACATCTCTGACGGCGTGGCTGCACTCAAACATAGCAGAGATGTCGGGAGCCGTGACAGGGAGACCTAACGCGAATGCACGACAATAACCGCGTTTGCATTAGAATTATCCCATAGGAAAGCATTAATCAATGCTTTCCTATGGGGAAAAATCTAACACTGGAGGTCCTCATGCAGAGCGTGAGGACGTCCCGCCTTCACATACAGGACCAAAGGTCCTTTTCAATTCAGGAAGCCCTCTAGTGGCTGTCTGGTAAACAGCCACTGAGGGCAGACTTAGAGCTGCAATGTAAACATTGCAGTTCTCTGGAACTGCAATATTTAACATTGCAGCACTAAGTACAAAAGGGACACAGCACCCAGACCACTTCAATGAGCTGAAGTGGTCTGGGTGCCTACAGTGTCCCTCTAACCACTAATCAATGCTCTGGCAAAAGACTAAGGCAAGGGCTGGTCTATAATAAGGAGAGAGATAATTACCAAGGGGAAACCAGCTGGGAGCTGTTGGATACCTTCAGCCTGAACATTATATCCTGAAACAGAACCACAGAAAATTAGTGGCACTGAGAGGTACTGCACCAGACTGAGTACATCCGAAAACGAGGTCCCTTGAAATGTTGATACTTATTATTGATTACAGGATAACAAAACTATATTATAACAATATAACATTAAAGGAACACTCCACACTGAAATTTGTGGAGAAATCAAACACACTGTTAAGTAGATATACCCCCTTTTTATGCATGGATTTATTGGGGGAATATCTTAAAAGAGCTTACAAAAGCTATAGTTTTTACGAGCTGCCGGCTTTGCAAGCCATCACCTTTTCTCCTGGAAGACTAACAGTCTCTTTATGGGGATTAAACCTATCAGAGGGTTCTCACTGAGAAGCCCCTGATTCTGTGTGCATGGGAGGCTAGAGCGCATGTACGGTAAAACACTGCCCTGCGCCAATCAGTCTCTATGAGACCATCTGATTAAAATAGCCGATTTTCACTTTGCTATTTCCTAGGAAGTGGCTGTCAGAGTGATATCCACTAGAGCAGCGTTTCCCAAACCAGTCCTCAAGACCCACCAACAGTCCAAGTTTTGTTAGTAGCTCCATTGGAATAAAACAGGGAAATACATAAATCCTGGACTGTTGGTGGGCCATGAGGACTGGTTTGGGAACCACTGCACTAGAGGCATTTAATCCTGTAATGTAAACATTGCCGTTCCTGTACAAAGGCAATGTTTTCATTTGCTGGGTTAAATTAATGGGGGACATGGCACTCGGACCACCTTATTAATATGAAGTAGTCTGAGTGCCTAGAGTGTCCCTTTAATGGAAGGACTTCTTTACCACTTTACATTGTAATAGAAAGTGGTTTATTTTAACCCCACTCAGTATTGAAATTCTCACGTGCAAACATTATAGCAGGGGTACACAAAAAAACAACATAAGGTAAGCACTAATTTAAAAACACTATGTCGGTGGGCAGCAACCTTAAAGAAGGGAATCCCTGTAACCCTTCAAAAAGACAGGAAATAGTACAAAGACAGAAAAGGCTGCGCCAATAAGGTTAAAGTCTCACTAATGTAGCAGGAAAAAATAGGGTGCAATCCTCAGGAGTTCGTAGTCAAGAAATAAAATAAAAGTCTCACTATAACAGGATAAAATTGGGGTGTAATCCTCAGGAGTTGATCCGTCTGGGTGGTTAAAATATCCGTACATGTGGTGAGACAAAGAGGAGATAAAAAACAACCAAAAGTGCAATACGCCAAGATCCAGATAAGTAATATAGCAAAAGCAGGTAGTACCCTCACATTTAAAAGAGCTATAACCAGCTCTGGAGTGGAGGGCGTACAGTGGTATGATCCTACTTAAAGGATATACAGGAAGGATGTGGTCGTCAATACAGTCTGGGTATCCACGGCTCTGAATAGTGATGAGAAAACAATAATAGTGCTCTCAATATGGTAAAACATAAGATATAAATAATCGAAATGATAAATTTTTTACTCCATTTGAAGAAGCCACATATGGTGAAACGTGTTATGGTTTTAAATTGTGTATTTTAGCAATAAAAGTCTTTTTGGTCACCTAAGCTGTACCAATTTTTTATTGTGTTTTATATGCACTTTTTTATTTGACCTATTTTTATCCTTCTTGGCAATTTTATCTGTTCCTGAACTCAAAGAAATCTGATGTGGGGATCGTTCCACCAACGCCTTATCAATAGAGCAGTATTTTCTGCTCTATACTTGTGAGTATAATTTTAATTATTAGTATAATAATAGTATAATAAAGTTAATACCAGATAAAATATAGGACGATTAGTTTGAAACTTAATTTTATAGAAAAGTACGCAAATATACAAAGCATAATATAATAAATATTAAATATATATATTATAAATATTAAAAATATATAAATAATAAATTATGCTAATTAATTTCCCTTTTCTTTCTAATAAAAAAAGAAGGTGAGATGGTGATCGAGGGGTACCTAATAAAAAACTGTGCAAGTTATGAACTGAGTTCCTGGTGTCAAAGTTTAAACAATATAATTTCAAATCTGTGATCAAGTCGCGTCATTGAAAGTTGTTGTAACTCCCTGTGTCAGCACTTCTAGGTCAGAACGGGAGGCAAGTCTTTGTGGAGCGTTTTAGTTTAAAACTGTAGGTAATTGTGCATCCTAAAACATTTTCCTCTGCATTGCAAATAGCAGTGAACACAGTTACAAATTAGACATGATTTATTAAAGCAGTGTTTCCCAATTAGTGTTCCGTGAAACCCTAGGGTTCCGCGAGAACAAAACTAGGATTCCGCAGCGATTTGCCCGTCGGGTGGCCCAAGCATTTAGAGCCACCCGATGGGTATGGCTAAAAAGGGGTCTGGTCAGGTGCCGCGGTCATCTAAATTCGTGACCAGACCCCTGAAGTATTGGATGCTGGGAGGAAGTGACAGCACTTCCTCCCAGACAGAGTGTACTGGCTGGAGGGAGAGGGAGCAGCGGTGAGTGAGCAGCTGCTGACCTCAGCCAGCAGCACTGAAGATCCTCCTGCAGAAAAAAGGTAAGTGAACAACAAATTTAAATATGTGTGTGTGTGTCTGTGTGTGCACCTGTGTCAGTGTGTATTTGTCAGTATGTGTATCTGTGTGTCAGTGTGTGTATTTGTCTGCCACTATGTGCCAGTGTGTGTGTATCTGTGTGTCAGATATACACACACACACACAGATACACACTGACACACAGATATACACACACTGGCACATACAAACACAGATAGACACACCTTGACACACACCGGCACATATAAACACAGATACATGCACTTTGACACATAGATAAACACACCTTGACACACAGATACATACACACACACACAGATACACACTGTGTGTCAAAGTGTGTGTATCTGTGTGTCAGTGTGTGTATCTGTGTGCCAGTGTGCGTATCTGTATGTCAGATACATACGCACACACAGATACACACTGACACACAGATACACACACTGGCACATAAAAACACAGATACACACACCTTGACACAAACCGGCACATACAAACACAGATACACACCTTGACACAAGCCGGCACATACAAACACAGATACACACACTTTGACACACAGATATAGATTGGTTGCTTCATCTAAGTGTTGCTTCTAAGTGTGTAGTTGGAGATATTCTGGAGAGTTTTACAGAAGCTTCAACTGTCTAAGAGTTGTGCTAAGAGCTTTCTTTTCTACTGTTACTGGTAAGAGTCATCTGTAGGAAAAGGTTACTGATTGCACAAGGTTTGAATTCCTGTTGGTAATTATAAGGCATTTGATTTGATTAGTTAACTACTTGCTATTGATTGCTGTTTAAATTAGCTATTGTTTGCAAATAAGCAGAGGCCTACCCAGGTGTTAAACATTCCTAGTGGGTGGTGATTTTAGGAGTTAAATAAGGGTTGTTGTCATTAGCTTGGCTAATATAGCTTGGTTGCTTCATCTAAGTGCTGCTTCTTAGTGTGTGGTTGGAGATATTCTGGAGAGTGCTGCTTCTAAGTGTGTGGTTGGAGATATTCTGGAGAGTGCTGCTTCTAAGTGTGTGGTTGGAGATATTCTGAAGATAACCTGGAGGTAATCTGAGGTATTCAGGAGGATAAATAAAAAGTTAAGATTCGTTTGATTTAAATTATTCTCCTCATTGGAATGGCAGACTTAGTTCAGTGTAATAGTTGCTATGCATTTGTTTCACGTTCCACTTTTTGGAGGTTTGGTTGTTGACTAATCTGTAGACAGTTCTCTATCTTGCGGCAGGAGATTGTATTTTTGAAGTCTGAGATTTGTAAATTATCTGGTGAACAAACTCAGACTGGAACTGGAGAGAGGCACTGAGGCTAGTGGTTTTGTGGAGAGGGGGACTGAGGCTAGTGGTGTTGTGGAGAGAGGCACTGAAGCTAGTGGTGGTGTGGAGAGAGGCACTGAAGCTAGTGGTGTTGTGGAGAGAGGCACTGAGGCTAGTGGTGTTGTGGAGACCGGCTTGGAGACTATGGTGAGGCCTAATAGAAAGCAGTTGTTGTTGGGGGATTCCATTATAAGAGGTGTGGAGATGGACAATGGTGGTCTTGTGAGGTGTCTTCCCGGAGCTACTGCTCACAGAGACAGGAGACGTATCTGTAATATTGTTAAGCAAGCAAAGCAGGAAGGGGAATTGGATGTACTTGTCCATTTAGGGACAAATGACTTGGCTTGCAATGAGGTTTCAGAGGTTAAGGAAGTTTTTAGTGTTTTTGCCAATGATATACGGCAGGTTGCTTCCACACTGTCATTCTCTGAAGTTCTGCCTGTGCATAACACTCAGAACGACAGGCGGATGCGTATTAGGGACTTTAATTTGTGGCTTGGTGAATGGTGTCGGGAGCAAGGATTTGGCTTTATTTCTCATGGTAGCTCTGTTTGGAATGGAAATAACCTGTACAAAAAAGATAGTTTGCATCTTTCTCAAAAGGGAACAAATGTTCTCAGTGAGCAGTTCAGAGGTTTTGCTAGGATGTATTTAAACAAGGAGGGGGGGGGGGCAAAAGGGTGATAAAACATCAATCCAATTGTCCCCCAAAACAAGGACAGAAGGTGCCTGTAGCAAGTGTGTTAAAAAATGATAAGCTTAGAGTTATGTCTACAAATGCTCGCAGTTTAGGGAATAAGATCCATGAACTTGTGGCAATAATGGCAACTGATAGTGTAGATTTAGTCGCTGTTACTGAGACATGGTATAATGAGAAAAATGACTGGGACATAGCAATACCAGGGTACTCTTTATATATAAAAGATAGGGAAGCAAGAAAGGGGGGGAGGGAGGATGGCCCTGTATGTGAAGGATAGCATAAAATCTAGCCTAATAAAAGTTAGTGAGTTAGTGAGGTGAACATAGAGTTCGTTTGGGTTATGTTAGAATTTGGTAATCACACAGTAACTTGTGTAGGTGTGATTTATAGGCCCCCAGGACAAATTGAAGAGTTAGATAATCTACTAGTTGAGGAAATAGCTAAAATGACAATGAAGGGGGAAGTTATCATCATGGGTGACTTTAATCTTCCTGATGTAAATTGGAAAACAAAATTAACTACTTGTGCCAGGAGCACACATATTCTAAACTCCCTACTGGGATTGTCTCTAAAACAAGTTGTTGAGGAGCCAACTCGTAAAGAGGCCATACTAGATTTAGTGTTAACAAATGGAGATTTGGTATCAGATATTACTGTAAGTGAAAGTTTAGGATCCAGTGATCATCAGTCAGTGTGGTTTAATATAAGAACAGTGACTGAGTCACACCACACAAAAACAAAAGTTTTAGACTTTAGAAAAACAGACTTTTCTAAAATTAGAATATGGGTAGAGGAGTCATTATCAGACTGGAGCAATTTAAATGGAGTCCAAGAGAAATGGGATTATTTAAAAGTTGCACTATTGAAGGCAACAGAAAATTGCATTAGGTTTGTCAGTAAAAGCAAAAAATTCAAGAAACCACTGTGGTACTCGCAGATGTGGCCAAAATAGTTAAAAACAAAAAGTTAGCATTTAGGAATTATAAAAAAACCCAGAGTGAGGAAGACAAAATGATCTATAAGATTAGGCAGAAAGAGGCTAAGCAAGTTATAAGAGCTTCCAAATCACACACAGAAGAGAAAATAGCACAGTCAGTAAAAAAGGGGGACAAAACTTTTTTAGATACATAAATGAGAAAAGAAAAGTAAAACAAGGATTAGTTAGATTAAAAACAAAAGAAGGAAGGTATGTAGAAGAGGATAAAGGTCTAGCTGACTGCCTCAATGAATATTTTTGTTCTGTATTTACAGATGAAAATGAAGGAAAGGGACCTCAGTTAGAAAAAGGATAAATGAGTCATTTATTACACGTGAGTTTACAGAGGAAGAGGTTCTATTTCAACTGTCAAAAGTGAAGACAAATAAGTCAATGGGACCTGATGGAATACACCCAAAGCTATTAAAAGAGCTTAGTGGTGTACTAGCAAAACCATTAACAGATTTATTTAACCAATCATTGTTAACAGGAGTAGTCCCAGAAGATTGGAAGTTAGCGAATGTTGTGCCCATTTACAAGAAAGGTAATAGGGAGGAGTCGGGCAACTATAGGCCAGTAAGCCTTACTTCAGTAGTGGGGAAAGTGATGGAAACCATGTTAAAGGATAGGATTGATGAACATCTAAAAACACATGGATTTCAAGATCAGAGACAACATGGGTTTACTTCAGGGAGATCATGCCAAACTAATCTTATTGATTTTTTTGATTGGGTAACTAAAATTATAGATCAGGGTGGTGCAGTAGACATTGCTTACCTAGATTTCAGTAAGGCTTTTGACACTGTTGCACATAGAAGGCCTATCAATAAACTGCAATCTTTAAGTTTGGATTCCAATATTGTTGAATTGATAAGGCAGTGGCTGAGTGACAGGCAAGAGGGTTGTAGTTAATGGAATATATTCGAAGATTGGACTTGTCACCAGTGGGGTACCTCAGGGATCTGTACTTGGACCCATTCTCTTTTAAATTTTATTAGTGATATTGCAGAAGGTCTTGATGGTAAGGTATGTCTTTTTGCTGATGATACTACGATATGTAACAGGGTTGATGTTCCAGGAGGGATAAGCCAAATGGCAAATTATTTAGGTAAACTAGAAAATGGTCAGAATTGTGGCAACTGACATTTAATGTGGATAAGTGCAAGATAATGCATCTTGGACGTAAAAACCCAAGGGCAGAGTACAGAATATTTGATAGAGTCCTAACCTCAACATCTGGGGCGATTATTTCTGATGACATAAAGGTAGGCAGACAATGTAATAGAGCAGCAGGAAATGCTAGCAGAATGCTTGGTTGTATAGAAAGATAGCAGTAGAAAGAGGGAAGTGCTCATGTCATTGTACAGAACACTGGTGAGACCTCACTTGGAGTATTGTACACAGTACTGGAGACCGTATCTTCAGAAGGATATTGATATTAGAGAGGGTTCAGAGAAGGGCTACTAAACGGGTTCATGGATTGCGGGATAAAACTTACCAGCAAAGGTTAAAGGATCTTAACATGTATAGCTTGGAGGAAAGACGAGACGGGGGGATATGATAGAAACATTTATATACATAAAGGGAATCAACACAGTAAAGGGGGAGACTATATTTAAAATAAGAAAAACTACCACAACAAGAGGACATAGTCTTAAATTAGAGGGACAAAGGTTTAAAAATAATATCAGGAAGTATTACTTTACTGAGAGGGTAGTGGATGCATGGAATAGCCTTCCAGTTGAAGTGGTAGAGGTTAACACAGTAAAGGAGTTTAAGCATGCGTGGGATAGGCATAAGGCTATCTTAACTATAAGATAAGGCCAGGGACTAATGAAAGTATTTAGAAAATTGGGCAGACTAGATGGGCCGCATATTTCTTATCTGCCGTCACATTCTATGTTTCTATACATACACACACACAGATACACACTGTGTGTGTATCTGTGTGTCAGTGTGTGTATCTGTGTGCCACTATGTGACAGTGTGTGTGTATCAGTATGTCAGGCCTGCCATCAGAAATTTTGGGGCCCCTAACAAAGCTCAAGGTCTGGGCCCCCGGGTCCCATCCTCGACTCCACCCACAGGGCTCTTTCTAAATCTGCCCACAAGGATGCAGGACTGTATAGTCCTGTGTATAGTGAATGTATAGTGAATGTAGAATTAGAATGCGTGCAATGGATGCAGAGTGAGTGTAATGAATGCAGTGTGTCTAGTGGATGCAAATTTTACATTTGTGTAATGCGTGTAGTGTTTGTGTGTATTAGATGCAGTGTGTGTATTTGTGTAGTGTATGTAGTGTGTGCATAGTGAAAACAGAGTGTGTTTGTATAATGGCTGTAGTGTGTATTTGTGCAGTGGATGTAGTGTGTGTACAGTGAATACAGAGTGTGTTTGTGTAGTGGATGTAGTGTGTGTTTGTGTAGTGTGTGTATTAGATGCAGTGTGTAGTGGACGCAGTGT